CAAGATAAATGTTACAAAAAGTCAACTGAACTTCTGTACTTACATGAAATTCACTATATATATATATATATATATATATATATATATATATAGTTATCATAAATACATTTTTTACAGAGATTCAAGGCAGAACTGCTAATGGTAGCCAGGCGTGGTGGTGTATACCTACAATCCCAGCACTTGGGAGGCTGTGACAGGAGGGTCACCATGAGTTTGAGGCCAGCTTGCACTACAAAGCAAGACCTTGTTTTAAAAAACAAAGTTGCTAAAGGCAAAAAGTATTATGGGGTTTGAAATCATATAGATACAGGTTTTAATCCCAGCTGTATAATTTAGCAGCCATGTGAGACTGGACAAGGGCAGTGACTAGATCTTCCAGGTGGTCGTAATAACCATGGAGTGTAATCAGTGCCAGGATCTGACCCTACCAAACCTGTCAGTCTCCTCTCTCCTTGTGTGGGGTTGTCCAGCTGCACTGAAATTAACTTCTTGAGAGTCAGGGTCTTTGTTCCACATTTGGTTGATCCTTATACACACATAAAAGCTCTTGTGCAGAAGGATCATTGCAAGTTCTAGGCCAGCCTGGGCTATGTAAGTGAGCTCAAGGCCAGCCTGAACTGTGTAGTGAGACCCTGTCTCAAAAAGACCACCCACCAAAAAAAGAAGCTACTGTGTAGCTAAGGGTGGTGGCGCACACCTGTGATCCCAGCACACTGGAGGCTGAGGCAGGAGGATGGCTGCAAGTTTGAGGCCAGCCGGAAATCTGAAATATATAGCAAAACCAAGACCCAGTCTCAAAGAAACCCTTGCCCCCCCGCCACACAAAAATAACCTCTTACACCAACCCTATCCTACAACCTAGTTAATTCCTATCTGTTCTTTAAGATTTCAGGTTAAATGTTTCACTTTTTCAACTTTCTCTCTTCAACAGCACTTTTTTTTCTTGAGATAGGGGTCTCATGATGCTACCTCGGTGGGCTTTGAACTCCTGGGCTCAGGCAGTCTTTCAGCCTCAGCCTCCTGAGTAGCTAGGAACATAGGCGCATGCCCTGACATGGCTCAGCAAGCATCAGTGAATACCTATGATGTTGTTGTTGTTTTGTATCAGGAATTGAACTCAGGACCTCATGCTTGCCAGGCAGGCACTGTGCTGCTGAGCTACATTCCCATCCCAATGCGTATGTTTGACAATGGCCTAGGCCCCTTCTCATTCTTTTCTTTGGGGAGTGAATTAGGGTTAGGGACCCTAATCATACCTAATGATGACTTAATAAGGTAGTGAGAAATTCTGGCCCAAAATGTAGAAGAAAGCCAAGAAAAATAAACGTAGCACACATCCACTTTTTTGTTGGTTGGTTGGTTGGATGGGTTTTGTTGTTTTTTGAGACAGTTTCACTTTATAGCCCAGGCTGGCCTTAAACTCACAGTGATCCTCCTGGCTCAGCCTCCCGAGTGCTGGGATTACAGGTGTGCACCACCATGCCTGACTGTAAAACTTTACTTTTCAAACTTGATTTTAAAAAAGGTATAGAGCCAGATGTGGTAGTGCATGCCTGTAATCCCAGCACTTGGGAGGCTGAGGCGGGAGGATTGTTGCCAGTTCGAGATCAGCCTGGGCTACAAAGTGAGCTCAAGGCCAGCCTG